TCAGCATGAGACTCAGCTGTTGTACGGGGCTTGATAAACTCTGGGTTACACAGACGGGGTGATTGGAAAATCAATTGGACGATAGGCATTCAAAAGGGTTTAAGGGGGTTGACCACCCTTTGGGCCTAATTTGGAAGGAGCGATGTTCCATGTCGTAAGGTTTATTAGGGGTCAGGATTGCCCCCCCCGACCAACAATGGGGAGCCCCCCCCCCCCCCCCCCCCCCCCCGGACATTTTTTAGCCACCTTTGGCAAAGTAGGAAGGAACGATTGGCCATCGGTGATCGGTCCTGTGGGAACAATGCTCCGTCCTCTGGAGGACGCATGGTCAATGGTCTACCGTTAAGGCATGCAAAACATGAGAGTGCGCCCCCCCCCCCTCCCCCCGGTTTGTTGCACGTCGTATCGCATGGTTCCGTCATTCGCTCCCCCGCGCACGCAGTTCGCCTTTTGCATCTGGGTCGCGGGCACCATTGGCAGCGTGGTCGGCACCATGGTCTACCCTCCTAGAGGTCCCGAGCTGCTGTCGATCTTGGCTGAGATGGGCGCTTCGGCAGTCCTTGGCTAAACCGGGGGAAGAGGGTGTGTTTGTTCACCCACCCGTGATGTGGTTTCTACCCCAGCTGAGAAAACAGGGGTGCTTGCCTGCAGCTCTGGTTTTGGTTTGAGGGCATGGGTGCGGCAGCGTTGAAGCCGCCATCGCCCCTCTGTTGCCCCTCCCGATCGATCGATCGATCGATGGAAAGGGCGGTTGGGGCTATCTCCTTCGTTGTTATGCGTGCCTTTGTTGTGTTTTCGAGTTCGGCGAATATTTATTTGTGGATGCTCTGTAAAGTGAGTTCGCCCCTCCCTGTGGTGGCATTCTTTCCGATACTGTCGTTGTTCTTTCGTAAATTGGGTGTTGCCGGATAAAGCCCTCCAATCGTTTATCCTCGCGAATCAAGGGGATCAAATTCGCCGTTTCATACGTTTGGAAGGAATTTGCACGACTACTGTACCACTTCGGGCGGGGCGTGAGTAGTCGCAAGCGTTGTTGCATATCGCATCAGCAGTTCCCTCGTCAAACGTATCCCCTGTTGGTTTTGTCCGTGTCTGCGGAGAGAGAGTGCCGGCTTTGTTCACGCCTACGGCTCGGTTGGACAAGGGACTGGAACGGTCTCTTAAGGTGAAGCCAACAACAACAACACACCAAGAACAGGATGGTCTGCAAGAGGGTACCGTCGTCTGATGGATTTTGAATCTCCTCTTGCAGGGATACAGGGGTGTGTGGTTGCCTTTCAGAGATAAGGTTCTAATATTAGTGTACTTTCGACAGAGACGGAGTGTACGATCTCCGACATCTCCGGAAAGGATGATCCGCGTGTCGTTTCACTATTACACAGAAAACGCTCGAGGCTCGCTCGTAACCTGTTTCTGGCACAAATGTTTTTTTATCTACTACACAGCGAACTGCGTGCCACAAATGTTTTTCTATCTACTACACAGCGAACTGCGTGCCACAAATGTTTTTCTATCTACTACACAGCGAACTGCGTGCCACAAATGTTTTTCTATCTACTACACAGCGAACTGTGTGCCACAAATGTTTTTCTATCTACTACACAGCGAACTGCGTGCCACAAATGTTTTTCTCTCTTCTCAAAGGACGACGAGCAGTCAACGCAAGGATGATGATGGTGGGCGAGAGGCAGCATAGAAGCAACAACATTCTCCGCCCGGCCTGTGGGTAGTAGACTACTAGATAGATTTGTGGCACAAAAATTATACTGGGTAGATGTACCAGCCGCCACTATTGGTTTAGTTGGATAGTGTAGGAGCCTTCACCGGGCATCGCAACTCGTGCTCAAGGCTTGAACGCTTTAGAAGCTGGGGCTCAATCGCCTGTGTAAGAGCGATAGGATGCAAACCATGCTGTCATCCCAGACAACAAAATGTCAGAAAATGCGACGCAATGCACTGCTGTCTGTTCGAACATCGTCAAGAGCAAGAGCATTGCTTTTCGCACCTCAGCAAGACATGCCTGAAATGTGTTTTTTTCTATTTGGAGTTGTCCGCCAAAGCAATGCTCTTCGAAGCTCCAAGAGCCATGGTCAAGTCAAATCAGCTCCCCCCGCAAAGCAGACAAGCATATTGTACCGCGAACCATCAAGGAAGCAGACAAAAAACTTTTCATTTTTTGGAGCTGTGCCTCGACTGCACACTGCGTGTACGACCTCGAGCACAGAACGAGAGGGATATTGTACGAACAGGGCGCGCGACATCTAGAGCTCTGGTAATTTTCGCCCTCTCCGACATGGGGTTCAACTGTGATGTGCCAGACATGAAACAAAACAGGCCCCTCCCCAGGGTCAAGCTGCTCCCGGTTCATCTGCAGATACATATCTACAGATTGCCGGCCTCTCCGTCCTCACTGCACAAGGCCTTCTCCTGTGGGTGCACGCTACGAGGCAGCCTCAAAACGAGAGAAGGCTTTTTTTGTCGCCCAAGTGTAAAAAGGCCTCCTCGTTCTTCACTTTTGGGTCTTCTCTCTCCTCATCCTTGCACTGTAAAGGTACAACGTCGTGTTCCTCTTGAGGGTAGTTCTCTCTCATCTTCCGTGCAATGTAAAGGTACAACGTTATGTTCCTCTCGAGGGTACTGTTCTCTCTCCTCCGTATCCTTCAAAGGTACTTCAACGTTATGTTCCTCTCGAGGGTACTGTTCTCTCTTCTCCGTCCCCTTAAAAGGTACTTCAATGCTGTGTTCCTCTTGAGGGTACAGTTCTATCTCCTCGGCCCCCTTTAAAGGTACAACGCTATGTTCCGTTTGAGAGTACAGTTTTCTCTGCTCCTCGTCGTCTACAGGCACAGAACGTCGTTGTTGCATTCCTTTTTAGGGTACAGTAGTACTCTCTCCTCCGCCATTTAAAGGTACAGACCCTCCGGAACGTTCCCCTTCTTGCGGTACAACGCCTTCTCCTTGGCCTTCGTGAAGTCGTCCATGGTCACCTGCGCGAGAGAGTTAAAGAAAACACAAGCATGCGTGTGTTTTGTTGGGAGGCAACCGATGTAAGCACACGTAAATCCCTCGAGGACACACCGAAAAATATCCATGAAGGAACTGTGGATGTGCAACGAAAGAAAGGGTCAAAGAAGAACATGAGGCTCACGCGGTCACAAACTGCGTGGGGAGAGGCATGCATGCTATGTTCCAAGCAAACAAAAAAATACCGAACATCGCACATCGCACACGTACACGTACACACGCGGTTAGCCGATTCGCGCTATCGACACTATTATAGGTAACGAATGCAACAATTCGCCGTTGTGTATCCCGCTCGAGAGCATACGACAACAATAACGACATTTCGTTGGTCAGCCCGTTAGCGCGATCGGTGCAAACAAAAAAGACACGCACAAGCGTGTTCGCGGTTGGCATCCCGTATATGCGACGATCATAGGATCTTTTCATTGGTCAGTCAATTACCGTATACGAAACAAGATAACACACCCCCTGGACGATTTTCAAAGCTCGATTTCTCAACAGCAGAAAGAGTCACAGCGCCGAAAACGGCGGCGTTGAAAGCCGTCTCGTCGAGAACTTTCTGAAAACGTATCGTTTCGTTTATGCATCCTCTTCGCCGTGGCACAATCGAGCTTTTGAAAACCGGTCCAGGGGGGGTGTTATCTTGTGTCGTATTCGGTAGCGTGGTCTTTGCCTGCCATTGTTGCAGAACCACACACATCACACACACACCTTCATTCGCCGTTCTCTGAGTGCCAGCAGCCCCGACTCGGTGCAGATAGCCTTGATGTCCGCCCCCGATAGCTCGTCCTTGGCCATGATGAAAATCTCCAGGTCTACATCGTCCGCCAGAGTCATGCGCCCCTATCGTGTCGCAAAATAAAAAAACAGATCGACAGAGTATGTAGTCTTGAAGAAAACGGTAATGTTTCCCCGATGTATCGTGTTGCCAAGAAGAAGAAAAAAATAGTCTTGAAACTCCCCTCCGAAATATTTGCCTTGTTGAGGGTGCCAAAAAAATCAACAGATGGTGCGACGGAGGTGAGGCGTGACACAAAGCTACCTATTCACGTCTTCATGATACCCTCGGCCCCTTCTAAGGCCTCCTGTCCCAACGATTGGCTATTTAGTGTAGGTACCGTAACATGCGGAGAGATCGCCACGGTCGGCGAGATCGCACCGGAGTGGGCACAAACGAACATAGAACAGAATGATTTTATCCACCTCTCTTTTCCCTCCTCGATATAAAGTATCTCTCTCACCGTGTGAATGCCGAAGATGCGCCGCTTGGTTTTGATGTCGGGCAGCGGGAACTCGATCTTGCGGTCGATTCGCCCGGGTCGAATGAGGGCTGGGTCGAGAGACTCGATCTTGTTTGTTGCCATGATCACCTGGGAAATGATAATAAAAACACACACACAAGAAGAAAAGAAGACGTTCTTCAGGACGAGGGGAACGTCTTTTGAGGAAAACCTGTGGAGGCAAACCTGTGGAGGCAAACCTGTGGAGGAAAAGCCTTCTAAGGAAAAGCTTTCTGAGAAAAAGCCTTCAACAAAGGATCAGCCTTCGAAGATGTCTATTAGAAATAGGCTTGGATTCGCACGATCAACGGCAACGGTAATACAATGTAGCAAAAGGTTTTTCCCTCTCTCAGGTTCGTCGCCGAAGTTTGTTGACAAGTAGAACCGATCAAGAGCACAGAAAGAACGAAATGCGGGGATAGAGAGCACGGAGACGCGACAAGGAAGAAAACTCGAGCTAAAGCTGCTTGGCCCATACCGTGGAATGTCACAAGAAATAACAGCAGCTGACAAAATACAAACCTTACACATACAGTACCAGTACCACAGTAAATGCGCCACAGCCAACACAGAGGGCTCCCTCCCTCCCTCCCTCTCTCTCGCCCTATTTCTCCCGAACACCATGCGAGCGTGCGAGTAAGGAAATCCGTTTGAACAGCCAAATTCCCGTGCACAAGACAAGTGCTTTCGTCTACATTACACACGGGCGTGAACACGAAAACACACACACACACACACACACATGCTGCCCCCTCACGGGGTCCCAGTTCATGGCAGATAGAAGTGTTTTGTGTTTTCAACCGCACTAAGACGGACGTCTTTTCATTGGTCAGCCGGTTAGCGCGGTCGATGCTAACAATAAAAAAAAACACCCACACACACACACACATGCAGCAGCAGCAGCATACCTTCACGTCTCCCCTTTCATCGAAACCATCCAGCTGGTTGAGGAGCTCGAGCATTGTGCGCTGGATTTCGCGGGTCCCGCCGGAGTTGGAGTCGTACCGCTTCGATCCTACCGCATCGATCTCGTCGATGAACACCAACGTCGGTGACATTTCATCCGCCACACGGAACAGTTCACGGACTAGCTTCGGACCGTCTCCGAGGTACCTGGTGTGTACGTTTTATGGCGAATAACATGAAAAGGGACGGCGCGTACCCATGTCTTGCATGCCGTAGAGGTTAGATCATGGAGGAGGGGGGGTTGCAACAAATACGAAAACTGCGGATCGCTGTTGTTTCTCCCTGGGTTCAAGCTAAGATCCCATGCCAAGCAGCAGCAGCAGTGACACTGCATGGGATGCCACGTCTTGGGGGGGAAATTGGCGAGGATCGCAAATACTGAAACCACAACCTTTTTACTCCAACAACAGTTACCAAGTCATATAAAGCTGCTGTAATTTTTGGCGACAGGTGAACCCTTCGCTCGGTCTCCTACCAGTTACTTGCGGTTAGCTTGTGACCACGGAGAGTTAGTTACACCTCTGCCTTGACTAAAAGGAAGAGGCGCTGGGTAAGGTTAGCTTAGATTTCGGGTTAAGGGATATGGACCACAAATATTACGCGGAGGCAACATCAACAAACACCTGCTTGCTATCTACAACAGCAGTGCAATTTCTCGAAGTAAAAACAAACCCTGCCTGGGTTCAGGTAGAGCTGTGTTTCATACATGGCCTCGTATGGTACGATACTTCTACGCCTAGAAAGAAGCCCTCACTTTTGGATGAGCTCGGAGCCCACGACGCGAAGGAATGTTGCGCTCGTCTGATTGGCCACAGCCTTCGCGAGAAGCGTCTTCCCTGTCCCCGGCTCACCGTACAGGATAACGCCTGCGAGGGCAAGAGCAAAGATGCGAGAGTTTGTATCGAAACATGCAGCGAAGCACGCGTTTTCAGGCTTCGGTGCATCATCATCCATGCGCCACGAACGTGATGGACCCCGCCTCACCATGCCACTGGTCTTCTTCCCTCGTAACGTTCCTCCCTTACATGTTGATACCCTAGTCTTTCTCACCACCCTCCGGGGCGGTGACACTCACGTACTTTGATAGTACAAACGGCACACACCCACATGGCAACCCAACAACCAACCTTTCCTTTGCGCGCTTCCTGGTGTTCGTTTTCACCTAGGAAGGTCGATACTGATACCGATACCCATGTATTTGACATGGCATACAACACCGTGGGTACCCACCAAACGTCCCCTCTTTCTCACCCTTGGGCGGCTTGATGCCCACACCCTCGCTGTTGCACCCTAAAAGAGCGTAACGTAGACATGTGACACGGCACACAGCGGTACCTTCACATGCATACGTACCCCATCTATGCCCCCTCTACCTCACCCTTCGTCGGCATCATGCCGATACCCTCGCCCGTTGGTGTACCCTCAAAGGGGGTGCTGCGGCACAAATCATGCATTCGTATCCCCATCTCTGCCCCTTCCCTCTCACCTTTGGGCGGCTTGATGCCGATATCCTCGTACAGCTCCGGGTGCGTCAGGGGCAGCTCCACAGCCTCCTTGATCTCCTGGATCTGAGACTCCAACCCCCCGATGTCGGCGTACGTCTCTAGCGGTGCCTTGTCGACCTTCATCACTGACACCATGGGGTCCGCGTCGTCCCCAAGGATCCCCACCACTGACATCACCTATGCATACACCACGTTCCACCAGGCAAGGGGACCGGAGAGGGGGATAGGGGGGGGGATCATGTTTTGCATGCCTCTGCTGTTAGACCATTGACCACGCGTCCTCTCGAGCGGACGGAGCATTGTTCCCACAGGACCGATCACCGTGAGGGGGGAGGGGGGTCGTGTTTGACGGAAAAATACTGCGAATACCGTGAGGGGGGCTCGCCTATCGCTTGCCAAAAGAAAGGAGAGGCCATCGAGTTCGGGGGGGCGGAGGGGGGGTACCATAGCGTTGTGTGTCGGGTCAACCGGCATCACAGGATGACACTGCTGTGATACAGCACGAGATGTTTCAAGACAGGCTTTCGAGTTCGATCCATCCACCGTTTGGAGACTCCTCCGCCGCAAATCTCCGCACTGAACACGTTTCGTTTGGTAATACGTTGTTGTGAAGCAGCGCAGCTCTACCTATGCCGCTGCTGCTGTACGTAGGACAATTTCATCCCAAAGTTCAACGATGCTGCAGGAAATATTAGAAC